CTTCACTAACTGGACAGTAAACTGCATTATAATAGACTTTACATGCACAGTGTACAGTGCCAACATACACACATTTTTCAAATGTAAGATGCATTAGTTTTTTCCCCCTGACTCTCTTGAAGTAGCTTATTGCCAATCCATCAGTAGTACATGGTGTGTAGTAATGTAGTGGTGATCCATTTTCACGACGTCCTCCTCTGATCGCTGCACAGTTGAATCAAAGGCCACTAATCAGAAGAGAAGTTTCATACAAGATAATGACCACAAAAAGGGAAACAGAGGAGGTGTGAATGTGAGTGACTCATCCGCTGTCATGCTTACAGCTATTATCCGGTGTGTTCACCTCAGTGGATCCCAGCATGCGGCTGGACAGGGATGTTGAAATACTGCCCAGATTTGCGGGCCATGTGTCATTAAATGCATACGAAAACTGATGCTCTCCTGTGGCTACTTTCAGATATAATATCTGAGACACAGCTAACTTTAACAAAATGTGATTAGAGTTGCCTTTATGATACATTTTGGCACTGAGCTGTGGTGTTTAAAAACCTGCACTGATGAGCCTGATGGGCTGCTGTAAATGAAGGTCACGTTTTGTAATTTTAAAAGACCATAATTACAGCACCCAGCCCAATTTTGCTGGAACCTGAGGCGCGATGCATCCTGTCACTGATTGGCCTAAAGGGCATCCGCATTATTTTTGGAGCGTGAAGATGAAATGCTCATGAAAGCTTTGTTTTTCTTGGTAACAGAAATGTGAGGTGACTTTTAAAATGAGTCAGAGGCTACTGGGTAATGAGGAGCATTAAGTTAAATATCTATATACCTACACCTGATGTATAGTAATGTCATTTGTTTGTTGCTGCTAACTTAAATAATTTAAATCATTCAGGTCTCCTCTTAATGTTTTTTAGAATAAGTAATTTGGTATAAATCAAGTGAGGAATGTTACTTATTGTTTTATTGGTAATGTCCTTGAAATAATTGGAAATAGCCTCAGTTCCGGCTTTCCTTTTAGCTCAGTGAGCACACTGCGTTTGTGAATTTCAACAATCAAGGACAACTCAGAAGTATAGAGTTTATACAAATGCATTAAACTTGATTTGCCTTTAAATATAAAAAAATAAATTAAGTTCAACACTTTAGGTCCCCCTGTTCAGCAAGTTTAGCAATTTCAAAATTGGTGATCCCTAGTTAATTCGTACATTTTCTTATTATTTTACAGTGTCATAATTTTAGTTAATTAAGTTAATTTATAATTCTTTTTTAATTGAATTAAATGATCATTATAACACACGTACAACATGTTACTGAAAGCAAATTAGCACATATTTTTTTATCTTATAACTTTTTTAATCTTTTATCTGTTTGTTTACATTTTAGTAATAAACAAACATTTATTAAATGTTTATGAATGTATCTGGTATATAAACAGATATAAATGACATTAACATGGAAACAATACATTCACTCAGGAAAAAAAAATGCTCTGTTTTTCAAAATGAATGAAATTGTTATCTCTGAGTTATGAGAAAGTTTCCATGGAAAGAAAATTCTACTCTTTTTTTAAATTTATTTATTTTAAATCAACAAAATTATATTCTGGGTAATTCAGAAAAACAAGAATTAATGAGCAGATTTTTTTTCTTTTCATGAAATTTTTTCTCAGAATTCTGAGATAAATATCGTTAATTAGGAAACTGGGTTCTTTTTTGCTGTCATGCGAATGCAATATGCTCCCGTAAAATATAGTAAAACACAGTTCTTAAAATTTAAAACTCATTAGTTTGAGGTCCACACAGTTTATATATATATTTGTGTTTGGCCATGTCGTTGAGCTAGTTTGCTGTCTGTGTCACGTAGCTGTCTGTTTGTCACTCACTCTGCAGCAGGAAACAACACTTCATAATAAAAGCTCTGTGCTGGAAATTCACTGTTCGTAAAAATAAAGTGTTTTTTGTTGTTGTTTTTTAATAAACTGGACATATTTGCAAGTCACTTGCGGACCATTCGGGATGGGCCTGCGACCCACCAGTTGGGAACCAATGATATAAAATATGTTTTCATAGGAGAAGTTATAATGGCTGACAAATACTGTTCATTAAAACACTGCCTAATGCAACATTAAAGTGTTTCAAATCCTTCATTAGATGTTTAATATAAATGCTAAATCGGGGACTCAAAGTTAACTGCTACCAAGGAAAGTTATGGTTTTTCATTCAGTTTCGAACAAAAATAACGAAACCCCAAATTTTGTACTGATATTAGTTTGATATGACTGTAACTGTGTTCCCACCTGTTTTACATTTTACACAGACACCACTGTGCATTGACAAGTGAGAAGATCCTTTTTCTATTGTGGATGTTAGCTAAGACATTTTGACATGGCACTTGATCTTTGGACTAAACCTGTTAGTTTATTGTATTTTTTTTCACCTGAACCCCTCTTACACATTTGTCCCTTGTGTAATCCAAATCAAAGCAGACCCTGCTGCCTGCACTTTGCTGCTGTCTCTGACAGATATAGACTATAGACTTAAACCTGCTCTGTCTTTCTGACAGGCTGACATGAGAAGAAAAGCAGAATTTCCATGCTCCAGTTGCTCCAGTTGCTCCATTTGACCCGACTTCACTCACGCAGATTGGTGTGCCAGGTAGCACAATAGCTGTAGGATTACAAGTGAGATCTGTCTGATGTCTTGTTAAGTTTCCAGTTGGTTAGAAGACAAGAATGAACAGGCGTCGCACTTTTTGCAGCGTTCCACCCCTGCTCGCCACATCACTGACGGAGAAAAGATGCTAAATGAGAAAAAAAGAGAAAGGTAACACCATGCAACAAACCCAACCCCGTACACTGCCTGTTGTGCCTGTTGATTAAGGGATTTGCTTTTTCACTTTTCCCACACACCTCTCCAAAGTCTGGAAATCTTCAGCTGTCTGTGCCTCAGCCTCATCCGATCTTCTGTCCTTTTGTTTCTCTCTCTTGTTCCTTCTCATCAAATACTGGCCTGCATTCAGTTTACATTGTTGTTCTCTGTAGGTGATTACTGTATCACAAAAAAACCCTCAAGAGTGTATGTCAGGCCTCTAGGATTAAAGGAATAGTGTGACATTTTTGAAAATTGCTGTCTTGTCGAGATTTAAATGAGAATATCAAAACCACTCTTATGTCTATATGATAAACACAAAGCTAACATCGTTAGCTTAGCTTAGCATAAAGACTGGAAACAGGGGGAAACAGCTAGTCTGGCTCAGGTAATAACATCCACCAGTGCCACTAAAGCTCACTAATTAACATGTTATATAAGATTTGTTTAATCTGTACATAAAAAAGGAATGATGGGTTGATGGGGCAAGAAATGGAATAAATAAGTTACCCAAAATGTCAGCATGTTGCTGCACCCATGAGATGACAAGCTTAAAAGTGAAAACAAACATAGACTCATATGCGGAATAATTTCACTATGAACACAGTTCAATAAACTGAGCTCCGTACTATTACCTGCACAGTTTGTTCACTCCCTGTGTATCAGGATCCAAAGTTCTACAGGGCTATTTTTTCATATTTATGACAGTGAACTACAGTTTTAATCATTAACTAACTCCACTTTTATTTCCCAGACATCATTGCAACCCTGTCCCCTCGAAATCACCAATATTACTAAATTGTTTTCATAATTACGGTGTGGCGACAGTGTTACCACATCCTGGATTATGTACTGAGCTGGATTCACAGGGAGGTGGTCAGGGTAATTGGTGGACATCATACAAAGTGCATGACTGTGTGACACTGTGACGTGCTGTAACGTTTAATTGATTCAAAACACACCCAAAACACACATTAAACATGGCTTGATAGAGACCATTTCAAACATAAGTACACAAATCAGCTTCACTATAACTCGCAGCATTCACAAACAAACAGTTGTCTTTTGCTGGACACACTTTCCCCATAAATACAACATGCTAATGTTTTTAGCACAAGCCTGTGGCATTTTACATTGTATAAATTAGCCTAGCGACGAGGGTAGATTTCCTCTCCTTATATGAAGCCAGGATAAATCACACACAAGACTTAAAATGCTATTTTGTGGAGGTTTTATTGTCTTCACAATTTATTGTTTCTTATCCGTGAGATTAAAGTAAATAAAAGCTTCACTGAGGGAAATGGTGTCAGCATACAAAAACAGACAGGAGGTCTGCGTCACTGCCACGTGTAGTTACATTTCTGAGGAGGTGCACATCAAGCTATAGTGTAGGGTAAGGTGTAGGCTTTTCGTAGACGCAGAGCCTACGCCGTAGGTATGGCGTTGATTCAACGCAGAAGTATAAATCCCGCATAAGCAAGGTAATCCAGATGTCCCTCAGCCCCATTAGCGTTTTCTAAGTTGCCCTGTGGGCGTTCCAAGGTGTTCCCAGGCCAGATGAGATACATAATCCTTCCAGTGTGTTTTGGGTTGTCCCCGGGCTCTCCTACCAGTTGACCTGCCCTGAAAACCCTTTAATAGGAGATACATTGGGAAATGGAACCTTTGGCAGAAAATAAATGAAATGCGCTGTCAGTGAAAATCTTGCTGATACTTTCACTGTCAACATTTTTGTGACTTGCCTGGTGAGATAATGAGAAACATTTCCTTATTATGGAGCCTGGTCTCACTCTGAAGTCGTTGAAATCCAGTGCTTGGGCAGTGACTTGCAGCATCAGACACTGACAAGAAAAGCCGTCCTTTAACGTTGGAATGGTACGTGGCCAGTCACAGTTATATTTTAATGGTTCCACAGCAGGTTCAGGGGGAAATGCGGCGGGACAAGAACAAAATTTAAGACAGCGAAAGTGTTAGCGTCTAAAGCCAAACCCTGCTCTTTTTTCCTAAACCTAACCATGTGCTTTTGTCACCTAAACCTAACCACATGTGTTGGTTGTTGGAGGGGGGAAAAAAAAGTCAGTTCACTTTGTTGTACCAATGTAGTGCGTTATTTTGAAAGAGACTGTATGTAAACAGTAAATTTCCTGTGAAAACAGAAGTGTATTTTGAAAGACGACAATGCATGTAACAAGCCTAAATTGACATGTTGTCCTAGAGCGTCAACCCAGGATACCTTTCACATCGTATCTGGATGTGGAGGGTCCATGACCAAACGTTGATATGTGACAATGTCAGAGTGAGAATGTGTTGTATTATGTTAACGGTGCAGTATAAAGCAATCCTGGAGAATGATACTTGATTGTTGTTTCATTCCTAAGTCGTTAGTTACTGATGCTTTGGGTTGGTGGTTCAGTCCAGCTATCAACCCAAAGCCTCTGTATCTGACAACTTGGGAATGAATCAACAGTCTTTCTCCAGAATGACATACTGTACCTTTAATAGAAAATTTGCCTGCATTACATTTCCTTTAAAAAACGTTTTGCTATTTCAAATTAGTTGTATACAAAGCAGAATTTCTAGGAGACAGGACTATATACTTGGCACCCAATATTTTATTACAGTAATGATTATCTTTGTTAATAATTGCTGAACAGCCTTAGCAGGAAATAGATATAGCATACAACATTTTGTCTAACACAACAATTCAAACCCTGGACACAGTTTGTTCTCAGTTCATGTTACTGATGAGCAGCAGCCTCACTGGTTACTGACACAGAACACAAGACGTATAGAGTAGGCGGTGTCCAGGCTGTAAACAATGACGTTGAGGATCGTCATGAAGGTGACCACCACCAGTTTATCCCAGGCACAGAGATGGCCACAGTCACTGGGTCTCTTATTGGTGCGGAAACTATACAGTGGCCAGATCACCATAGCTGTCACATACATCACTGCTGCCAATATGTTATAGATGATCACAAGCTTGTCAAAGGAGAATGGAAAGTAAGAGGTCAGCTGTCCAAGTGTGAGCAGGATTATGATGATGGCAAAGATAAAGCACAAAGAGTACACTGCCACGCACCACTGCAGTTGTGAAGAGCCAGAGTACTGCCAGTCCTCCAAGGACGTGAAGATGAGACAGGCGAGGAACGTCTCCAGCATCTTCATAATGCCAGGCAACGTGGAGAGGAACCCGCTGTTCTGCCCACTCGGACGAAGGCGGGTCAAAACCACCTCACCTGCGTACACCCCAAAGCAGACCCAGGACACCACAGAGGCACCGATCTGACGGTGGCAGGTCTTACAGGTGAAAAAGGTGGGGTAGATGACAGAGGCGGCGAGGCACATGAGGCTCGCCAGCATGGCAAAGGCAGTGGTGAAATCATCCCAAGCAAAAGGTAACTTGGCACTGACGGTTGTGAACTCCAGGATGAGAATAAGAAACGTGAAGAAGAAGCAGAAGCACCAGGTAAACATACACCACGCCCAGTAGGGAGATGAGACGTAACCCACTGCTGCCACCAGGCTAAAAGACATGCAGGTGAGGATGGTCTCCATTATCCGCATGGCGCCCACAGGCTGGGTGAGGGCACGCAAGTCCACACCGATCATGGCTGGACAGGATGAGTCTCTGACCTAAAAAAATGTTTCCAAAGTCAGTCGATTCCGATCAGTGCATCCCTCAGTACAGCGAACCAGATCCTGTTAAAGAAATCCATGAGAGCCGCAAGCAGGTGTGTTCTTTGAAACTGAAACTCAAACAGAGCATCCTGGGCTTATCTGCACAGTTTATGGCCCCTGTTTCTCTCCATGGATTGGATACTGGCTGGGCGTGTTATCATGTTCATCTCAGGACACACACACCGGACTCTGGTCCTCAGTGCAGGCCGTGTTCAGAGGCTAATCTCCAAGACAATGATGGGGTGTAGGTCACATCCTACGGAAAACCACTCCTATCCTGTCCTTTAGATCACTGGATTTTTTTTCCCGTTAAAGGGTTTTTTTTGGGGAGTTTTTCCTGACCTGCTGTGAGGGTCCAAGAACAGAGGGTGTCATATGTTGGAAAGCCTCATGAAGTAAATTGTGATTTGTGATATTTGGACGATATGAATTTAATTTAATTTAATTGATTTATTGTTAATGGGTGATATAATATAAATGGGAGAGTTTGGACGAGGGATTTTTATGGATTTTATGGAATGAAGATTCCACTTTAGCTGCCAAAAAGGATTGGATGTTAAGTATTTATATCTTTATCAGAGCCCCTTAAAATCTCCATACAAAACAGACAAGAAACTACATTACAGTAAGCTTTGTGATCATAATTTATGACATCAGCGTTTAAATTGCCTGCAGGCAAAAGCCAAATTATGGAAATACCCTTTTTGCAGATTTCTCCAAGGAGTAAAAGAGTTTAAAAACTCACCTACAGTACGTGCCAACAGAAGCACTTATTCTAAAATAGATGTGGGACGTTATTCTAAAGTCCCCTCCTCTCTGTCTTTTCTTTCCTTCATCTTTTTCTCTCTCTCATTTTGATTTTGTAGAAAGCAGCATTGTCATGACTGGTCAAAGGTTAAGTAACTAATCTTCCCAGATGTCATAAAGATAAGTAAACCAGGCTTTAATCCTGACTAATTACACATTTGCTTTTGTTTTATTGTTACAGGAAGGCTAAACATATAAGTATTTAAACCCTCTCTATTCTCTATATTTTCCTTTCATCATTAAATATGGCAGCTCAGAGAGGTAAAATTTGGTCCAAAGTAAATTTTTTCCAGAAGTGCAAACAGGTGCATCCATTCCACGCAGTTGAAAGCTTTCTTTGTGTCCAGAATGAGAACACATTCAGGGAACGTGCCAAAGGGAGACAAATAATGTGTATTAAAGTAGGAGTGATTTTGTGGGATATGACTGTCGTTAAAACATTCTCCAATCTATGGGCCAAAACTCCTGCAAGAATTAATACAGACAGGAGTGAAGTTGTGAGATTGAAACTTGTAGCTGCTAATGGTGGGCAAAAATGAATGAACAAATCTTTCTGAATGACTCCCCATAGGTATGTACCAGGTCAGTTTATCAAACATCTGAGTGCTCACTGAATCCTGACTTTTCCACTTGCTGGAAAACCACGAGATACAGCCGATAGATGGCACTAGAGAGCAGTGTCAAAAGTTCCACACAGCACAGACAAGTCAACCAGAAGTCCATTCATTTCTATGGGAATCTGATGTGCCTGCTAAACTCCTCCCCTCCGTTATATTTCAGTGTGGAATTTGCCTCAAGTACCTTCAAAAAAATTGAACTTAAATTCAGTTATCTGTGTTGTTTGTCAGGTGAATTTGTATGATTAAAAAAAACACATTGTGAATCTAATAGTAAGTAATAAGTAATATATCAGATTGTCATTATGACTCATTCAGCCCTTCATATGTATCTTTAATTAAATATTTCACAAAACATGCTACACACCCGGCAGGCTAACAGGTTTATTTATTTGTTGCCATGCAATATTAGTCCTGTTTTTGTCCTGTTAATGTTCCAAGTGCATATTCCAAGCTAGCCTGAGTGTCAGACTGAAGCTCCCAGAACCTTCAGTCTGACATCGCCTCCATTGAAGGCGATTTACAAGGGGGGGGGGGGAATTTGATTTTTTCCTAACCAATCAGTAGAGATCAACGACTCACCCAGAATCCGACGTCATTAGTATCCATGCCTCGGGGGTGCTGAAAACAAGCGAGCATTGCCCATTTAAAATGTCTCCATCGTCATGCATGCCCAGCTGCATCGCTGTTAAATCCAGTTTAGCAGCTTCCTTAATTTGGTCCTCCATTAACGTGAGTAGTGGCGAAATAACTCGATAGCATCGTTAATGTGGTCTGTAGGATCTGTAGCGGTCGCCATTGTTGCTATCCTCCCCAGTTACCCACAGGCACACAGCTTGACATCAGCGTGGCGCTGATTGGCTAATCGCTAGACCCCCGGCGTTCATTGGTCCGTCCATCGTTCGGATGAGATAAATCGCAAATTCATTGAAGTATGCCAGACCAGAGATGCAAGCCTACTCAGTTGAGTGGGCGGGGTCTATGGTCTGGAACCTGGCTAATTCCAAGCTACTAGATGGCAAAAAACAACCAAAGTCAGCCTCTCTCCTAAAGCTATGGGGTTTCTATCCATCTCTTAAGAAATGCACTTCCTTATGTTGGACACTAGAGGCATCATCTGTACATTTACGGATCTGCAGACACCAGTCACATGCTGTCTGCATTGGCAAGTGAACTAGAAGCACTTAAATCAGATTCAAGTCAGACCTCCACCAGCCAGGGCCAATGGTGCATTCATGTGCTCTGTGGATGGTAGTTTTCCCGACTTTAGCACGTTCATGAGCTTTAAGTTGTGATGTGGGAACAACATTGTTGCTACAAAGAAGATGTGTTGTATTTGATTGCTCAGAGCATTTACACAACATGTTTCTACAATGAGGAAAGGAATCAAATCATTTGAAAAATGATTGGGAACTAATTTTTCCGATTACTCAGACATCACATGAATCCAGCACAAGGCTGCAGAGGCTGCTACTCGCCCCTTAAAAAATGACAGATCATTGGTTGGTGACATTTCTGTAAAACTGTATTGCGCTTACACAGACTACCTACATACAAGTGGAATTCTGAATCAAAGCATTAAAGTGATAGTTTAGGTTTTTGGACATGAAGTTGTGTGAAACGCTGACCATCTGTAGCTCTGATGTGACGGTGTCACTACTGTCAACGAGCCTCCTGCTCTGAGAAATGGCCCGTAGCTTACCGGAGAAAAAGTAGTTCTGAAGATGTACGGGGGACACGTAACCAAAAGGTTTTAAGCTACACAACAGTATGCATGTGTTTTGTTAGACTATTTCAATAATTTTAAAACATCCCTGCATTACGTCAGACCTTGCTATCAATTGGGGCTATTTTTGGGCCAGTATCACAAGACAGCACGCCAACAGAAATCAATCAGACAGTTCATCACCACGTTGTGCAGGTGCGCAGGATAGCAACGGCTAACGAAAACTTCATCGACTGTTTCCAACAGAGAACCAGTAGGCTATTATTAGTGAGGAAAAAGATGTACTAGCCCTATATATACACCTACTACTACAGCGTGAACACCGGCTCAGGCTCACGACACACTCTCGTCAGCTGCTGTAGGTAAACAGAGGAATACCAAAATGGTGCGAACTTGTGATTTCCCCAGCTGTGGGAATAAAAACATCGCCAGCTCCCAACTCCATCGGTTTCCTGTTACAGATGTAACCTGTAGGCAACTGTAGCTTAAAACCTTTTGGTTACGTGTCCCCCTTATATCTTAAGAACTACTTTTTCTCCGGTAAGCTACGGGCCATTTCTCAGAGCAGGAGGCTCGTTGACAGTAGTGACACCATCACATCAGAGCTACAGATGGTCAGCGTTTCACACAACTTCATGTCCAAAAACCTGAACTATCACTTTAAAACAAATTTTAATTTTTTTTTTACTAATGTACAGTTACATACATCATGACTGGTAAAGGCAAATCTTGTGGGTTGGGCAGCTCTAGCAGTTGAACATGCATATACTTTAACAGAGTGTTGCAGAGAAACTCGAACAGTTCAATACATAGCCTCAACTTAAAGGAACCACTACTGTGGAAAGAATTGGTCCGCCCATCACTAATAGCTACTGTGTTTTCCAGGGTATGCACACTGTGATGCACCTTTGCAAACATCCTTACAGCAGATGAGGAGCAGTCCCACTATACCTGTTTAACCATTAAACAGATTATTTAACCTTTAAGCTCATTACTCATTTATGAGTCACTCATTCGGTCATGATTGTAGATTGTTACTGAAGTGCTGAAACAACCAAATAACAGTGACAGCCATTGGTAATGTAAGCTTGCATAATAACTCCACACTTTAATTACATTTTTATTCATATTTCACATGCTAAGATTAACAAGAACATGCCTGAAATGAGTCTGAAACAAAGACTGACACAATCACATTGATGCTGCACAAAAATAAGAGAATCAGATGAAAATCATGGAGGAAGAAAAAGGAAAACAGAATCAGGATTTTGTCTATCTGATGGTAAAATTAGACACAGGCATAGGTCTATATGATGAACATGTGCATTAGTCCCTGTCAATACAAACATAAGAGTAGCAAGGGACTTTTATTTTGACATAATTTAACATAATTACACCACAAATTGAAGCATAAAATTCACCAGACTGCAGGAAATTAAGTGTGTGATGCTCAACATTTTCTTACAGAGGACCCCAAACCCTCTGTTTTGATATGTCCGCCCTCAATGTTGGATGTTGAGACAAAACCCACACCCTTGGACACAGCCACATATGTTTCATGTCCTCAGAGAACAGGGACAGCTAAAAGACACCCTCATTTAAATCCACCACAAACCAGAGTGCATTGGAGTCATCATGAAAACAACAGTGAAATAAAATGTCAAACAAAAGTTGTACAATAGATAATTTACAATTAATTCTCCTGCTTATGTACAATCTTTGCTTCGCCAGCTGAGATATGATGCATTTTTAGAACTTATGTTCTGCTGATGAAGAACACCAGCCTGAAAGAATAAACAGAATCTGCAATGTAAGCACCCAGATTAAAAGCCGTCATGAAAGAGATGACCACTAAATTATCCCAGGCACATCTTCTGTTTCCTGAGCAGTAGTTCGGCCTGGGATTGTTCTTAAAGCTGTACAATGGCCAGATGACCAAAGCTGTGATGTACATCAACACGGCCAACACGTTGCAGACTGTTAGGACTTTGTCAAACGGTGCAGGGAAGAGAGACAGAAGGCGGCAGATGGTGAAAATGATGACAAGGAGGGCAAAAATGAAGCAAATGGAGTAGACGGCGACGCACCACTGGAGTCCCGCATACTCAGTGTACTTGCTGTCTTCCAAGCAGATGAAGATGATGCAAGCCACGAAGGCCTCCAGAACCTTGAGGAGACCTGGGATTGTGGACAGAAATCCACTGATCTCACCAGGTTTAGCCCGGGTCAGTCCGACCTCGACAGCGTACAGGATGAAGGCCAGACAGGAAGTAACGCTGGCACCAATTTGTTTGCCGCAGCTGGGGCAAGTGAAGTAGACGGGATAGATGATGGATGCTGCCAGCACCTGTATAAGAGAAAGAGCAGAAGTAAAGTGAAATTATTCCGTCTTTATGATACACTTTAGATCATGGGTCTTCAAGAAGGGGTTTGCAACCCCTAGAGGGCCCCTGGAGTTACTGCAGGGTCCCGCCAAATTATTGATTGATAATTTCAAGTTTTTTTTTTCATTTTCATCATTATTAAAATATATTTGAAAAAACACATTAGCATGAATCCAAAATATCATTAGCAAAGATAAACCGTCCTTTTTATTAAAAAACAACCCATTTAATTTACAGTACACAACAATGATGATAGGCTAACTGTTACCAATGAATTCGCGATCATGTGAGCTAGCTAACCTACGCTAAATCAATGTGCCTTCCAAATGCATATGATGTGTAAATATATGAATCTGTCAATAATTAGCTTGGCATTGTATGCACTATAAAAAGGCATGTTTTTACATGGCACTTTAGGCTGCCCTACATGTTATTGTGTGCCCACTCTAACATGCAACTCAATTTTGTTATGTAGCAGGAGGTCCCTGCTCCATCTCGCTTACAGTTAAGGGGTCCTTAGCCTGAAAAACATTGACGANCTCTAACATGCAACTCAATTTTGTTATGTAGCAGGAGGTCCCTGCTCCATCTCGCTTACAGTTAAGGGGTCCTTAGCCTGAAAAACATTGACGACCCCCCCCCCCCCAAGATGTTTAATTTTACTTTTTTTTTGCGCAGTACTCACAAATGACCCAAGTTTGGACTATGAATACAACTGACCCTTTGCTAAGTCCCACCCCCTGACACAGACTGGTCAATCGTAACTTAGTATCAGGCCGGCTCAGACCAGGGTCCGACAACAACACAGCTGTGCTCCATTGACTCTAATGCAGTCGTTTCAGATTTCCTTCATGTTCAGGCTGGTTGTGTGGATTTGGAGCTAAATGTTGTGCCTGGGGCACATCGTGTATTAATGATACTCGTTACCTGGAGAGGTTGGAAAAAGATATACGTTTCAAACCCTGAAAAGTGTAGGGTTAGCTAGCTAGCTACTGAAGATATAGCCTACTGAATGTATACACATGCTGCTTTTGCTTTTTAATGATTATAACAGTGAAACAAAGGCCGACCCTGCTGTACAGGAACCAGTGAAGGGAAGCAGGGAAACTTTGCTGATATTGAACCAGCTGTGTGTCATCGCAGTGTGCGCAGAAGAATGTTGTTTGACTTCCCCGGATCAATATCAGCAAAGTTTCCCTTTATATTCATTGTCTTGTGTGGTGATCAGCAGTGATGTGGTGGTTCACTTTTACACTGTGATCTGTAGCCTATAGTTGGGCTTTAGCTTCTAACTATCTTTGTCTTTTTAACCTGTTGTTGCTGCTGAGTCAGTTTGACATCCTGGATATATCCTTCAAACACAGACTGTAGACCCCTCTGTCAGCTTCTCTCTGGAATCACTCTTTCATTTTTCCAAAAATATGATAATATTTCTTCAGGGAGTGCAGTTAGTTATAGTGTGGGCTCCATGCTTACTGCGACAGCTTGTTGGACCATCACAAAGGGGCGGGGCTTAGCGAAAGATCAATTGAGAACCATATATGTTAATCTTTTAGTGCCAGTAAACAGTAAACATGCATACCAATGCTGGCCTATGTCAAATGTGATTTAACACTTATTGTGGCTCTCTATATATACACAGAAGTCCCACATGCCCAGTTAAAACGCCAATATGTAGCTGATTAAGCTTTTCATCACATCCCATCATAATCCCAGTGACAGTAATGTCAGTAGCTCGTCACTAATCAACAACTTAACAGTTTTGTCCTGCAAATATCTGTAGCAGTGGTGCCTCCAACAGAAGGCCAACGCCCCCTTTTTTTGGCTGAAATTAATGTGTTTAAGAGGCTGTGGCCTGTTCATTTTTTAAGCAAGGCATTCATTGGTATCATCCATGTTAACATAGATTGTTGGTAAGGGGGGTAAATAGTGCTACAGAGTTTGGCTCCACTTTAACAAGGGAACAACTGGCATGACCATTTTCAAAGGGGTCCCTTAGACTCTCACCTCAAAGATATCTAAATGAAAATGGGCTCTATGGGGACCCATGAGTCTCCCCTAGAACTGACAGGGCTTTTTCTGGGTAAATGTTTTGTCCCTTACAATCAATGTACTCCTTCAAATGATTTATCTTTTTAAGGAAAAGGGCAACCAGGCTATTTGAAGAAGAGTAAATCACCTAACATGTAGAGATACGTAACATTAATACAGGGTTGTCGCCACTGATCTGTGGTCAAAGACAAATATCAAGGGAGTAAAAAAATGGTACACACCATTAGAGTAGCCAGCATGGCGAAAGCGGTGGTGAAGTCATCCCAGGAGATGGGCAGCTTAGCACTGAGGCTGGTGAATTCCAGGATGATAATGAGGAGGGTGACACAGAAGCAGAGGCACCAGGTGAACATGCACCACGTCCAGAAAGATGCCGTGCTGTGGCCCACTGATGCCACCAGGCTGAAGGAGATACAGGTGAAGATCACCTCCAGTATCCGCACGATGCCCACGGGCACCGTCAGTGTCCTGAAGTCCAGCGTAACCATGGTGATTGGAAACCCTTTGGTCTGTTAACTGTGGCTCTGGATAGGTATCTTTCACCAGCTTGTTTTTACGTTGTTAGCTCTTTGGTTTTCGTCAGTCCTCGCCCCTCATCCTGTTAATGTAACTGTCAGACAGAGAAAGTATGAGGTGATTGTGAACCTTTGGCCGCTCCCTTGTTGCCGCCCTTCCAGACCTTCTTCCTCAAAAGACCAGTGATCAAATATTTAATGCGCAGGTGCATGGGTTATGGGAGTGTTTGTGTAGGAGGGCACTGTTCACTTCCATTTGCTTATCAGTTGTGTGCATGGTCAATAAAATAATTCAGATATTTTACAGCTACAACAGGAACTGCACCTTATGACACAGTTTGACACTTCACCCTATTTCTCATCCGTCATGTTTGCTAACTCAACGGCTTGCCCACCCATCAATAGATCAAATCTGTAAATGTGTCACAGGACACCTAAGAAGAATTGGGCCTTGGTGCTACAGTGTAAGAATGTGAGATGTGCAGTTTAGGAGGGACAGAAGGAGAAGCTTTCTTTATGTTAGGATATAATATTTGCTTTTTCTGGAAATGAAATGCAGGTGTGAGATACTGCAAAAGACACAAGATCCAAGACAAATCTACTAACGGCTGTAAATTACAGCTCCAAATTAAAACCACTTTACTGCCAACTGCTAACACACACACACACACACACACACACACACAAGCACATTTAATAATTTATTCTGAAAGTCATTCTCTTGTCCAACTTTGAAAGAGCTATTTAACTTCTAAGCGTGAAATGAACCTGTTAGAGTGAGTCAGGTTCTTATCTCAGACAGAGTAATTGTCTTGTGTCAAGGTATACAGTGGAGATATGTAAATTAAACAAAGCTGATTTACCTGCTGACAAAAATAGTGAAAGGCTTAAGTGGTCTAACAAAACCTGGAGGAAAGAGAGTGTGAACTGACTCTTAAACAGCTTGTAATTTCTGATACATTTTTGTGTGTGTGTGTGTGCCATTAGGGACTGCAGTATGGCTGTGGGCATAACTCCTTAAAAACACCTGATAAATGCAAAAGACCTTAATTCACCAGAGTGCAGAACACCAGAGAAAAATGACTTTAATCTTGTCTTGGTGCCCAGCTAAATGAATTCTAAGCATAATATTTAAAATGTGGCAATTCTTTCTTATTATTAAGTTATTTATCCACATAAAAGACTTGAGTTCAAACCTGACCTTTGACCTTTTTCAGAAGTTGAGATACTCTACCTTTGCATTGTCTGCAAAATAATAATGGGTCATGCCAAGCCAAAAGGAATCAATTTACCTTTAACCTCTCACTTTGTTGTTAATTATAATAACGGGGTTCCCACAGTCATGAAACTCCCTGATAAATTAGAAAAGCGGTTTTCCAAGCCTTGAAATGGTCTGACATTAACTGTTAAAAAAATACACCTAACGTGGAGGCACAGTGATGCAGTGGTTAGCATCACTGCCTTGCAGCAAGACATTTGCTGATTCGAATCCAAGTGAGGGAGCCCTTCTGTGCAGAGTTTTCATGTTCTCTCCATGTCAGCCTGGGTTTCTCAGGGTGCTCCAGCTTCCTCCCACAGTCCAAAGACATGCAAGTTAATTGGTGACTCTGAATTGTCTGTAGGTGTGAATGTGAGTGTGAATGGTTGTCTGTCTCTATGGCCCTGTTTATATGACAACGATTTCAACTGAAAACGGTAAACTTTAGTTGCCTTTTGGCCGATCGTTTACACGACAGCGGCGTTTTGGGTGCCTGAAAACGCAACGTTTTGAAAACGGGTTCCAGAGTGCAACTTTTTGGAAACGGCAGCGTCTCCGTTGTCATGTAAACTTGCAATATGCAGTTCCTCTGAAAACGGAGACTTTTTGCACATGCGCATTACGGTTCCAGTCACTAGGCAAGCCGACCATCACAACAACAATGCTGAGCTCTGTTTGTGCTGCTCACCCTGTTGATTTGAAGTGAAGTGTAGATCTGTTACTGTAGCAACTCCACCTCGTCGTCCATCCAGACAAAGTTATCTGTGCATGCTTTCACCATTGTGTCTTCTTTGTTTTGGTTTGTAATCACCGCGTTGTAGAGGAAGGCGCTTCAGCGCAGGCGCATGGCGTCATGCCGTGGTGTTGCTTTGCAAATGTACACTGCCACCCATTGGCCTGGTGTGCATACTACAGCGTTTCCAGTAGATTCTGTAGCTCCGTGTGAACGTGGATCGTTTCAATAACGTCGTCATACAAACGCCGAAGTTTTTTAAAACGCAAAGGACAGAATTTTACGTTTTTAGAGAAACCGATGTTGTCTAAACAGGGTCTATGTGTCAGCCCTGTGATAGTCTGATGACCTGTCCAGGGTGTACCCTGCCTCTCGCCCAATGTCAGCTTTAATGGGTTCCAGCCCCCCCCACGAACCCTAACAGGATAAGCAGTTACGGAAAATGAATGGACGAAAAGAATAGCTAACGTTACACGTAATACGTTCCTAGTATTACTCATTTAAAATCCAGTGCCGTACTGCGTGACTGTTGAAATGATGCTAGTATCATGTGATACAGATAGACCAGACTGGCATTGCGTCATTGCATTATTGCCAAGGCCACATCCCCTTGTGGGTCACTGATCAGCTTCAGTAGTAGAAGACTGATGGGGCATGACAGCGATCAACCTTAATTTTTTGAGGTATCGCAAATACTAAAAATTATAATTCAAACACACTTCAAACTGCGCTTAGCCTACATCTACAGGATCCTTAGTTTTCTATCCCCCCAAAAGGGGCGGGGCCTTGACATTTTGCAAAGTACCCATATGTGCCGGTCAGTTCTATTGGCATATGTAGCTAGTTGGCAGCGGGAATGTCTAACAAGCAAGTAAAGTTAGCAACCGCTAGCAGTTCTTATCCACAAATGCCTGGAAATGAATGGCTGTCTTGCTATATAGGTCTACCCATTTTAAGCTACTTAAATAAAGTCATGGAAAAATGATAAAATATTATGGAAAAGTTTTAAAAATTCATTGCTAAAAAGTGTGGAAAGCCTGCAGTAAGCCATATACTGTATTTTAATAATTATCACCGAGATATACTATATATTATGGTCCACTTGATATAATACAAATAATATTTAGGGTTTTTTTTAAGCCACTTTCTTTGGTTGTCTTTTGATGGTACATTACTCACCACACCATTAGGACCAAATTGGGTTAACTGATATTTGTACTGATTTAAAACAAAAAATATTATTCCTCCTAACCCTCAAAGTAACAAGTTACATCACCAAAAACAATGACCTCATATGTAGGTAAACAAAGAATTCTACGTGCAATTAAACAAATTCAGAGCACTTTAAAGGTCTAGTGTGTAGGATTTACTGACATCAAGTGGTGAGGCTGCAGACTGCAACTAACTAAAGCTTCTCTCTTGTGCGCAGTGTCCAGGAGAAATACAGTGGCCAATGCAAAAACACGAAAACATGAATGGCCCTGCCTAGAGCCAGTGTTCTTTTTGTCTGTTCTGGGCTCCTGTAGAACAACATGGTGGACTCCGTGGGAGAGGACCTGCTTGGTATGTAGATATAAACCTTTCTAAGGTAGCAAAACTACAATGATTCTTATTTTCAGGCGACTATACACTAATGAAAATATAGTTATGAATATTATATTCTATTTTCTGCCAACACATCCCCTTAAATCCTGCACACTGGACCTTTAAGTGAAGTTATGGGATTTTGCCTTGGTTTCTCCTAGAATTTTCGTAGTGAGGTAAAACAGCTATTTGTCCACGTGATAGAGCAGGTCTATATTGTTCCAAAAATGACACAAAGAAATTGTTTTGCTTAACTTTCATGCCAACACTCAAAATGGGGTGTCGACATAATTTTTACATGATGATTAACTTAACTTGGACTGATGTTTTTGAGATCAGGCCAGTGTGCAGTGGTTAACTAACGAGGAAGCCCTCCCCATCTTCCTCATCCTACAAACACTGAGCACAAAATCAAAAGGTAAATTACTTCTCCAGTGCCACAATCACAACCACAAAAGATTTTTCTGTTGGGTGTTCCTCCTTTGTCAGTATAATACTCACTGTTTCTGTATGTTATCTTGCACAGTATAAACCATGTGGTCGCCTCTATGACTAAATGACTGTGAACAAACACAGCTTATTCAGCTAGACTAGTTGTCAATGTTTGTAAAATCAGAAGAATAGCACACACTATATTTAAGATAAACTCTTATCATACTGATAGTAGAGGCTTTCTAGTCATGGCACTGCAACACAGAGGGAAAGATAAGATACTTTCATTGTCATTATGAAGAGATTGCTGCATTCCTCTACACATACAGTAAAGTAACACTAAACGGCATGTGAGGACATGGAACGGAGACCTGAACTCGACCCAGAATCCAAACCCACCCCCACCCCCAAGACATCTCAGTGTTACGATAAAAGCAGAACTGGGGCTAGTTGAGGACAGAGTCATCAAATATCTAGCCATGACTAAGGAGGAGAGGCTGGAAAGTTAAAAGGTATGAGGAGTACTTTGGGTTTGGCAGCCTCTAGTAGTCTGGCACTATTCTCCCTGCTCTTTTGCTCCCCCCTGTGGATCACAGAGCACATCCTCAGCAGTGCAGAGGTAGCAGAGGTTGATGTTACAGCCTCAGGTTGTTGCTGTACTTTGGCTCATATTCTTGCTGTTGTGCCACTGCGTTTCCTTCAAGTGCACCAGAACTATCCATGCATAAGATAGCTGACCCCAGCAGCCATCAAAAGTCAACCTCATTTAAAGGAGCAGTGTGTAGGATTTAGTGGGATCTTGCAGGGAGGACTGCAGATTGCAACCAGCTGAAGTTTCTCCCATGTGCCAGGCGCGAACTCCTGGTTTGAATTTCTTCAGTGCCCATTGTTTAGGAGGTTTTTACTGGGAGCCGAATTATCCACAGATGTCTCCTCCTCTCCAAAACAGAGGGCCATTTTGCCGGCAAACTGCGAGCGTTTAGACACACAGAGCCGGATTGGCGAGTTGATCCGAGGTGCCCAATTTTCAGCCTCGTAGGGTAGTCATATTGGCGGAACCCTTTTGGTTTAAACAGAACGAGGCGGCCTTCCGCAACGGGAGGGGCTATTTAAGACTTGTGGGAGGAGCTGTTGATGAGGTGGTGGATAAACAGGAAACAGCTGATAGCAGGAGTTAGCGAGCAGCTAGTAGCAAGAGGGAAACGCAAACCTGACAGACACTGTAAAGATGAGCAACTGGGGAGACAAGGAATTGCGGTGAAGGACGGGCCAACTTACGAGAGAATCGCCAAAGGACTGACTAGCCGCGGCTTCCCTCCACGTCACTGTTTACGTCACACGCTGAGCAACACGTTTTGTTACTTGCTCACGCCCCCCATTGCCCCGAAAAAGGCGCATTCTGTATGCTGCACTCCCTGATTTTGTTTTTATACTGCCAATGCTGAAAGAAGACTGATTGGGCTTTCCTGCAAATTTGCACACTTCCTGTTTAAAAAGGGCTTCTGTGATTCAAACCAGTAAAAACACTGAATAAAGCAGGTTCACATTACAAATCAGTGTTCCTCGGATGCCGTTGCTAGCCTAACCTCCTACTGTGTGCTCACCTGGTTAAGTTCCAGATGTTCAGGAGGTTTTTACTGGTAGCTGAATTATCCGCAGAGGTGTCTTGCTCTCCAAAACAACCAAACCCGTTGGTTTAAAATGATAAAAACACTAAAAAGAGTAGTTTCACATTAAAAAAAATCTGTTTTTCCAACGCTATTTGGCTCGTCGGGGACGGCTGCTAACTAAAGTGGCTCACATGAAAACACCAATGGCGCTGTCTTGAGCCAGTGTTTGTTTTGTCCGTTACAGGCTACTGTAGAGACATGGCAATGCAACATGGTGGATTCGAGGGCAAGAACCTGCTTCCTGTGTAGATATAATTTCTGCCAATATATCCTCCTAAATCCGACACACTGGACCTCTAAACTGCAGCTGTTGCAAACCTTTTACCTTAATAGATTCTACAGATTTTTCAATAGAAAAAAACACTGACACTGGGGATGATGTTATTGTACATTAACATTAACACCAGCCAGTTTCTTTGTAGAACTGAGGCCAACATTAAGTGATTTATACTTTAAAAAGAAAAGACTTCCTATCTGACAAAACCACTCCCATTTTTGTCACCTCTGTTTGAACCTGGTTTTTGATCGATGGTGCTGCTAATCAGCCCTCCTCCCTGCCTCTGTACCTACTTTGTTCTGTCGTCACAGTCGCTTATCTTCTATTCCCTCAGAACACCATCTATTTAACCAGCACTTGTATGGAAGGTATGCTGTGAAGAAAAAAAGTGGAATGAAATATTGAAGACACGAAGAGATAAATGAAAAGGTAGGGGGAGGCGGAGCAGCTGTCAGGGTGTGTGGAGGACAGAGGAGGCGGTGATGATGTTGTAGATTATTTATCTGGTTCCATAAGAAAGTTCACTGCAAAGACACAGGAAAGTGAGCTAAGAAATCTGTTCTTGGGTGTGTCTGTCCTTGAAGAAATTTCCTTGTTGGTGAAAGGGTAATGTGGTGACAGCGATTGTAACGTGTAACCACCACAGAAGTGGTTTCAAGTATTTTGCCAGGCGTCACAACTGTGCAAAATGCAGTCACGAAACTTTTGCAGATGAGTTGTTGGATTGAAATAAGGGTCAAGTTTGAAGATGGGTGTGGTCTGAGCAAGGGGGCTGGAAGTAGCGTGATAGAACGTAGGGAAGGGGGCCATAGCCCCAAGGACCCCTTTGGGTCCCTGTACCCCTAGTTGAGAACCTGAAAGTAATTTCCTGTCTGTGTAGAGCTGCATGTATTAATCCTCTTTTATTCTTGTTTTAAAAGTTTTTTTCTCCCACAATCTGGAATGAAGAGGCTTGGTTTTAATGGGATAGTTCAGATTTTTTGAAATGGGGTTGTACAAGGTACTTGTCCATAGACAGTGTATTATACACAGTAGATGTCACCCCCAGTTTGGAGAGGCAGGCTGGAGTCCAACAGAGAAGCTCAGTAATGTACTGCTGTGGATGGGGATCAGCAGCGAAATGTATTTTAGCTACCCACCTGAAAAAATCAATATCATTTTAAGTGTACGCTATATTTAAAGTATTTTCACTGCTTTACCTTTCTGTCAGACAGCCTGTTCTGATGGGAAATCAGTTAAAGGCGTCAGTTCCCCATCTATGCTCTCGTCAAAGCCACCAGACTCCATTGACAAAACCAGAAGTTTTAGCTCGCTGAACACAAAAGCTGCTGGCCCACTGCTGCTTTGATCAGGTAGTGAGTTTGTGTTATTGTGTGACTTTGGTGAATCCGAGCTAATTCTTTTAAATGCCAGAGTCTCACAATAATCCAAACAAAATAACTGAACGAGGCAGCAGTAGACCAGCAGCTCCTGTGTTCAGCAATATTACATCACTGTTTTTCTCAGTGGAGTCTGGCATTGAAGAGAGCAATATGACTGCTTAATTTTTCCTTTCAAATACCTGTCTGACATTAAAGTGAAGCACCGAAAATACTCTTAATATAGCATACACCTGAAGTGATATTTTTTTTTAAGATGGGACTTTTTTTAGGGGGCTAAAATACATTTTGCTGCTGACTCCTCCACGGCAGTACATTGCTTAGCTTCTGTGATGGACTCCAGCCTGCTTCTCCAAACTGGGGGCATGCTGACTGATATCTACTGTACATAATATACTGTCTATGAATAAGTACCCCATACAACCTCACTTGAAAAACAAACAAACAAAAAAAACAAAAAACTTAACTGTCCCTTAAAGGTCAAAACTTGGTTTGGTCTCTTCTTTTCCCTGTTTCATTGCATCTAAATATAAAACAGTTGTGTGTCTGGACCACTGCATGACTTTGAAATAGCGATGCAACAGGGGCAGACAGTTATGGGCTGTTGTATTAACACCATAAATTAAATTAATATTCTATACTTACACAAAAGAAACATGAAGATGTAGTTGGAAGGGAAAGTAGAAAGAACTTCTGCCTCAAATACTTCAGTAATCATATTCCTCTTTGGTTTTCTTTAGATTGATAACAACTAAATGGATTTGTAGAAAATCAAGCTCTGAGACACAGACAAACTAAACTCTTGCTCTCAACTACAATATTTCTTGCAAAAAGCATAATGCAGATCTAAAAATAAGAGGGGTTTGGATTCAAAATGCAAGAAAAACAATATTTATGGAAAAAAAACAACTTTGCATTCTACGCTCCTCCTAATGTCCCTGACTGGTCAGTAATCAAATCCAGGAATTCAATGGGAGTCTCTTTTGGTTAGGAATTATATAAGGTTATGTGCCTTTACAATTTCACTCACCTGGGGGCGCCATCACACAGAGAAACTTTGAAGTAACACAGACTGTAGCCATTAACAGGTTTCTCATAGTTTCACCCAAAGTCATACCTTATATTCTTTAATCATTTCCCACCAGCTGCAACTTAAACTTCTAACATACACTCTTGTTATAGAGGATACATAGTTATTGCACAGGAACAGAGGTGCTCCAGACTTCAACACAACCCAGATAGTTATAAATCTCCTGGTAGATATAAGACACATCTCTTCATTTTAGCAAAATAATATGATAACAGGAATCTCTTCAAACACCTTAGACTCTCTTTTTGAGTTCCTCCAAGACAACCTTTCTTTCCTTCTCTCTTTATTTTCTTTCCTCCTCTCTGCTTCACATTTTCTTGTTGTTAAAACAAAAACATCCAAGTCATAAAAGAAGTACCTGTACTGAGATTAAAATGAACATGCATATGCATAACTCAGTTTCCTTCAGCTAAAGTCCAGCCTGCACATCTGAATTCCTGGACAGGATTCTTGGAAGCTCTCTGTGTTCTGGTATTCTTCCTGCCGAAGTGTCCTGAGGTGACACCGCATTCTGCTCTCCCTGTTCACAAAGGAGGGAAAACTTTTGCCAAACATTACTGCTGACCTCCAGTGGCCACATATGGAAACATACAGTTATTTTCCCTTCATTTCCTTCCTTCCCATGTCTGCCTGTAAGTTTCAGGGTGGCTGTAATGCAGTGCATTCCAGATGTGATATGTTAAGTCCTTGTGATAGTCCTGTGACCTCTCCGTCTCTGCAGCCGCCGTCTAACTATCGCCAGGCCATCATGCGTCAAAGTCATGTGTTTAGAGGTGGATCATTCACACTCACTTAGCATGTATAAGAGACAGAGCCTGGATAAGAATGATTACGCAGACGCTGAGGAGCATCTGGTATTGTGTAAGAGTGTGGTAAGTTTCCGTAAAACACACATTGAGACATTTCTCATTACTGAGGTTTAACAGAAATCCTGCTCGGGTAGAACGGAACTGTCCACAGATTGTTTTCCACTGAACTGACAAACTCTCAATACAATTGTTTTCTTTTAAGATTTTTTGGGGATTTTTTATGCCTGTATTGGACAGGACAGGACAGATTGAGTGTGAAAGGGGGAGAGAGAGGGGATGACGTGCAGCAAGGGGCCATGGGTTGGAAATGAGCCCATGGCTGCCGCAGCAAGGACATTGCCTTTATACATGGGACGCTAGCTCTACCCACTGAGCTACTGGGTGCCCCTATCATTACTAAGTTCTTGTGGTGTAGTGGTAAGCATTGTCGCCTCGTAGCCAAGAGGATTCTGGGTTTGAACCTGCTGGCCAGCTGGGGCCCCACTGTGTGGAGTCAGCGTGGGTTTCCTCCAGGTGCACCTGGTTCCTCCCACAGTCCAAAGACATGCAAGTTAGGTTAACTGAATGGTTGTCTGTCTCTGTGTGTCAGCCCTGTGATAGTCTGGTGACCTGTCCAGGGTGTGCTCCGCCTCTCATCCAATTCCAGCTGTGCTAGCTCCAGTAGCTGCTCATATTACTGGAACAAAAAATTCCCTGCTGCCATAAAATCATTAACCGCATAGTCCACTATTGTAAAAGAGATGTCTTGTTGACAGGGCGCTTCCAACTGCAAACAAAGGCAGTTATGACTCTTTCTATTTTGAATTTGTGATCATTAGTGGTTTTATATTTGTAAAACTATCCTCAAGATGAGAAAAGGTATTTAAAAATCTGTGATGTCATCGCTATGTTAAGGTTATGAATCTAGCAGGAACTCATGAGTAGGGCCACACTACTGCCCATATTCAGTGGGTTGAATACAGACAGACTGGGATCTGGTATGTGGTTATTATTATTCATCTATGGGACATCTTCAACTTGCGCAGCTTGCATCTTCTGAAATGCACTGAGGCTAGTCTGGTGGAGCTACAAGAATTGTCTAGATTGGCCCCAGTCAGCTTGGGCAGCCAAAATGCGGCCATTTGGCAGAGATCTGCTTGCCCTAATTTCATATTGTAATACTATTAAGATACTATAAAGTTTATTTTATTGCTCTGCTGCTGCTTGAGGCCAGTTTCCATCACATGATTCATACTGTTTGGCAAGACCGTTATTATGCAAAGTGAAGTGATGCAATAACTATATAACCATGGAAAATTACTGCAGCATTTTCTATGTGAACTTCTCACCTTTACCACAATCACACCTTTTGGTTGCGTGGAAGCAAATAGGACACATTTGAATTTTAACTGCCACAGAATACTTAAAATATACTTAATATATATACAGTACAGGCCAAAAGTTTGGACACACCTTCTCATTCAATGCGTTTTCTTTATTTTCATGACTATTTACATTGTCGATTCTCACTGAAGGCATCAGAACTATGAATGAACACATGTGGAGTTATGTACTTAACAAAAAAAGGTGAAATAACTGAAAACATGTTTTATATTCTAGTTTCTTCAAAATAGCCACCCTTTGCTCTGATTACTGCTTTGCACACTCTTGGCATTCTCTCCATGAGCTTCAAGAGGTAGTCACCTGAAATGGTTTTCCAACAGTCTTGAAGGAGTTCCCAGAGGTGTTTAGCACTTGTTGGCCCCTTTGCCTTCACTCTGCGGTCCAGCTCACCCCAAACCATCTC